TTGTCTCCAGGGAGATAACCTCTGAGACCTTGGAATATCCTGCCTGATAGTGTCTTCCCTTACCTGGGACCTTCAACTGCACCAGATGGTTCATACTAACAGTGCGATTAATGGTGGGGGCCTTGGACCAGCCAGATAGCTTATGCTCACAATGACTTATGGTGGGGGCTTGGGCCAGGCCATATTCCGGTGACTTCTGGAAGGGCCGGAGACGGAGGAATTAAAGTCAGCCACCTGGGTACTCCATGCCTCTGTCACTGACTCCTAATATAATCCTGCACAGCAAAGCTTGAGTGAGCTTTCCTGGTTGGCAAGGCTTCACACATGCTGTTAAACCTCACTGCTGGGAGGATTCAGTGCTGTCTGCACAAGTCCATTGCCTGGTCCCCGGTGGATCCTGCTTAGGTGCCTCTCGCCTTATCTGTGTATCATCTCGCTGCTTTTCTAAGGTGCCATCGAGTGGCCTCCAAGTCCTCGTGGCCCTCTGTTTGACAGTTGACACAAACCCAGCACTGTTCAGCCCTGTGCCACGCTCAGAACTGTTTTATTGGCGCCCATCGTTCAAGCCACTCTGTCATTCCATCTCGTTGATGGTCTTTTGGGCTGAGCCACCTTTTCATTAACTGATGTCCTGCAGGGAACGTTCTTTTCTGCGGCTATGTCTCGTGACGTGACGTCTTTCCGATCTTACTTCTGTGGTATGTTCTGGCTATATTCTTCAAGACATCTGTTGGTTGTTCCAGAAGTCCATGGTGTACGGTTAATAATCTTCAACACCCTAATTCAAAGGAATCCGCTCTCCATCTGTCTGTCATACTCATTGTTCGGCTTTCATGTTCATAGGAGACGTTTGGGCTCGTTGCTTGGCACCTTCGTGCTCACAGGGACGTCATGAGTCTGACAGCTCGTCTGGGTTCCGAGAGTCTAATGAAAGACTGCACCTGAGGCTTGTCTCTGGACTTCGGACTCTAAGCCCCAAACTCCAAACTAAATCCACTGCCGTCCAGTCATGTGACTCAGACAGAGTAGAACTGCCCCGCATGGCAGAAGATTACTTAAGCGTGTACGAAGAGTTGAATTGGATGTCAAGTTTTATGAAATGCAGTTTGTCACTGGGGAAATGGGGTGGGTTCCTTGTCTGACCTCCTTTGGCTACCAAAAAAGAGGGAAAAATTCAAGTCCACATCTGCCCAAGGACAATTCGCCCTCGTCAGACACCACCTTTCCCACAGCACTCCGACACAACACAGACAGTACTCACGTCCCTGTGGTTGGTCAGGAGAGCCAGCAGACGACAATGTTAAGGATACAGTCCTTTTGTACACAACACCGCTTCTCCTCCATGCTGGCAAGCAGGTCTCTTTCTGGGCCTTAGCCACTTAGCCATGTGGTTCCCCTGGCCTTTCCTTGCCCCCTGAACCAGGAAGCTTACTCCTCTACTCTGCCCCATGGTCTCAGTGAGACTCCTTTACCCGGTCTCATGATGTCAGCGCTCTAGCCCCTTTGGACCTCGCATGCACTCTGCTGGTGACTCTTTTTTCTTGATGGCCCCAGGAGTCTCTCTCTCCCTACTTCTGAGATGGCTCCCTGGTCTACCCTGTGCCAATGGTAAAGCTGACCAATCCCCTCTGAATGTTTCACAGAACCTATTCACCTGGGTCCCATCCAGTCCTTCGGCAAGAGCTACAAGGACAGGAATAAAACAGCCATGCCATCTCGTTTCCCTTCGCCGCTCAAAACCCCCACATCCAAGCTGATTCCAACTCGGGGCTGTCTCGATGCGGTTTCTGAGGCGGTAAATCTTTATGGGGCCAGATAGCCTCATATCTCTGCCACAGAGCAAGCTGGTGGTTCAGAACTGCTGACGTTGTGATTCGCAGCCCAGTGCTTACCTGGCAGCACCGCCAGGGCCCTTCACTTCCCCACGGTCACCCGTACGCCTGTTGCCCTGGATTTGGATTTGTAGAAATGATAACATTGATTAATGGATTCTCTAATAATTCTCTCATTCTTGAAATTGATCATGTTCCTTGGTACTGCATTTTAAAATCTGTCACCGTCTTTGATTTATGTAGGATTTTTATAATGAATGACTGCCCTTTCTCCTCACTGTGGGCATTTTATCTTTGTTTTGGATAAGTCTTTTATTGCCATGGCTTCAGTACATTTTATAAGAAAACTGTCTAAAAGGGAGTATTGCCTTTTTTTTAACACACTAAACACTGTTCACGATGGAACATCTTCCTGCCTCCCCCTGGTTTGAAGAGTATACTGTGCAGCAGGCTCTCAGGCCCCAGGAAGGTGTGGAGAGATTCTCACTCAGCGGGATGCGCTCCCCAGGTGACTTCCCACCTGCCCTGCTTGGGCTCACTTTGTCTCCCTCTCTCCTCTTCCTTTATGCTTACAAATCCCAGCCAACACCCTCAGGTTGCCTTCCTGAAATACTCCCCGGCACCCCTGAGCTGGCTCCTTTCTAATGGCTGTGGGCACAGAGGTCTCACACTTAAGCTGTGACATAACGACTTCCAGACTGGGAGTGAATAGGCTCTGAGAAGGAGCCCGGGCCCTGTTCTTCCCATGGAAAGCATCTGTCCCCCGTCGTGCCTTTTTAAACACCTATTTTGGATCCTCAGAGATGTTTACTTCCTTTTTAGCTGTTGAAGGTAGTTGAGATAAATAGGGAAATGGATTGATTAACTTGTTCATTCATTCGAGTATTTTTAAAATTGAACATCTGCACAGTATTGTGTACTAAACACACACACACACACACACACACACACACACAATCATGAAAAAGCCCAAACTCACTGTTCTTGAGTTGACTCTGACTCTTAGTGACCCCTTGGGAAAGAGTCAAACTGCCCCTCTGGATTTCCAAGACCATAAATCTTTCTAGGAGCCAGACAGCTTCATCTTTCCTCTTCAAAGTGGCTGGTGGGTTTGAACGGCTGATCTTGCGGTTTATGGCTCAATGCGTAACCCACTCTGCTGCCAGGGTTCCTGTACTGTGGATCATTGAACCTGAAGAGTTATGCTGTGGGACTGAAGCCGGCCTCTGGCGAATGAATAACACTGTAGAGCAGGCTGGGTTTGGTTGTGGAAACTGCCCAGTAAAGATATTTGGTGTGTTCTAGAAAGAACTTTTGAGACTGTGAAGCAGATAGTAATAAGAATGCTTGCAGAAAAGTATTACCATCCTAGGTCTGTGACTGTGGGAGCCTGCTGGTAGAGTTGCCCCTCAGCTGTGGCATCTGGGAATGCCGTTTCCCGAGCATTCTAAATCAGCAGCTCTCTCACGATGCTACTTCGCTGTGCAAACAATGCGGCTTATGCTGAACACCTGCTCTCCCTGTGGGTGTCTGGGAGTTTACTATGCTAGATGGAAATTACTCCCTGGTACAAACCTTCATCCCGTGGATTTCCCTGGGTAGAAACATGGTGCTGTATTTTCAGGCCTGGGGAGAAGGCGCTCTGTAAACACGCTGGGCTGGGAGGGGTGGGGCGGGGGATCTGACCACCTCTAACTTCATGACGGGTGGTGGTGGTGATGGTAGTAGTAGTAGTAGTGGTGGTGGTAGTGGTAGTGGTGGTTGGTGGAATTGTTGTCTGATCCAGGAGCCCGTAGCTTATTTCCAAGGGTTGATCAGACATGTCACCTACCTCCCAAATGTTCTCCTAGCTCTGGCACCAGCTGTCCCTCCCTCCCACAGCACCATCTGCCTCTCGGCCGTGTTTGATAATTCCTCCCTGCGCACACAGACACCTCACAGACCTTCTTCACCGTGAGGGATTTGTGAAGGAAGGCACAGGTTCAGGAAGGCTCTGAGGATCGTCTCTCCTCGGCAGAGCCCACAGGCAGGCCTGTCTGGAGCTGTCTGACTTGCTGCCACTCAGTCTCTAATCAGCAACTGCTCCAAAGCTCTTTCAGCTCTGCCAGCAAGCCTCTGGCATGTGGCGCACAGAGCTGCACCGTCTCTCTTCCCCTCCCTCCCCCCTCCATCTCCCCTGGCTTCACTTCAAAGAGCTTCTTACTTCAGGGGTCCTAGGTCTAAATACGATATGTGTGAGCCCCTCCCTCCCCTCTGGGATGGCTCATGTTAAGTCTAGGGGCTTACAACTAACCAAATCCCCTCCTTCATTGTGTGGTCCCTCTACCACAAGCATCCTATACATCTTAGTGACATCCCTGATGAGCAAGCCAGGCTCCTTGATGGGTCACAAGCACCTCGTTGGCATGCACCTCCTTCCACTCGGTTAGTCACTGGGTGGGAGTTAGGACTGCGCCGTCCCTGCCCCACACGGCCATCTCTTAGGAGGGAGAGCATTAGGAAGACCCTGTGTGCATGGCTGCTTCTCGCCCCCAATATCATCCTGTGTGAGCCTTGGTGGTTTAGTGGTGATGTGTCAGGCTTCTCACTGCATGGCATGTAGTCTGAAACCACAGCCCACTCCGTGGGAGAAAGAGGAAGCTTTCTACTCCTGTTAAAAGGCTACAGGTGGTGGAAACCCACAAGGGCAGTTCTACCCTGACGGATAAGGCTGCAGTGTGTCGGAATCCACTCTGATGGCTGTGTGTTTAGGTTTTTGTTCTTGTTTTGTCTTTTAACATGCTTACTGTGTGCTGGAGTAAAACTTCGATAGTGGACAGTAACAGCCTGAGTCATGAAAGTGCTTACTGAAGATACCTGAATGCCGGGGGGTCTGGGGCACCCCTGACGCAAATGCCTGACCTTTATTATTTCTGTGTGGGCTCCTCGTAGTGTTACGTCACAGGGCTTAGCTCATCGAATCCTCCCCGTCACCGGACCCACACGGCAGGCCAGTGCTATCGTCACCACTGCAGGGCTTCAGGAAATTAAGTTACCTGTGTAGGTCCTGTAATCCACAAGCTTATTCCCGAACCCCCGCCCCAGGTGTTAGCACCTCAGAGTATATTGTTTTTGTTGTGCAGAGGCGCGTGGAGGTGGACGATACTTTCATCCTCCGCATCATTTCAGATACGAGCACGTTCTGACGGAGCCGGACCCGGTGCCCGCGTACGCCCTGAAGCTGCTGGTCGCCATGACGGAGCACAACCCAACCTTTACCAGGTACTTGAGCTTCCCTTCCCTGGGCCTCCTCCTCCCCCACGAAATACGGGTGACGTCTGAAAATCACTGTGGAAGATGAGGGGATGGTAATTGTTCATTTTTCAAGAATCGTAGTATCTACCTCTTACGCAGTTCGGACTCTTATTCTCCTATTCTGGGCCCTTCCTGGAATTTACGAAACAGTTCAATCAATGCAAGCTTTAAACGTGAAGTTACTTTGGGAGTAATACTAACACATGCACTTACACAACAACAACAACATCACCCAGTGCCCATGGTTGAACACGGTGCTTCCATCTCTCTGTTTGTAGGCTATCACTTGCTACTGTTTAATTTAGTTGAAAGAGTAGCGTTACATGGAGCGTGGGCCTTTGCTGAAGAACCTCCCGAGATACAGCAATACTGTAGCCTACCTTCTAGGACAGTGGCCATTGCTCTCCATGTTGCTAAGGAGTTTGTCTGAGCGCACCTACGTTGAGAGGCAAGGAGGGAGCAAGATCCTCCTGCGTTTTCAAACAGGAAAAGTAGCTTTTGTTTTACAGGTAACGTCTGAAGACGTTTTGCTCCAAAGTTAGCAGCAGGTCATTAATGAATATCACAAATTACTTATGGCACAGTGTGTGAGACAAAGCATTTGCTGTCTCCTTCTCTGGCGTGTGTATGAGTCTGTGACGTTAGTGACCTTCACCAAGTTGTGCAACCTTCACCACTACCCTTTAGAAGCCCTGTCTCCACAGTCAACCGGAACGCAATACATCTGGGCAGTACTCCCCGTCGGACGACTGTGTCTATGCACCGGCTGTTATATCACTGGGCCAGGTGATACTTGTCCTTTTGTGCCTCACTTAGGCATTTCACTAAGCACAGTGCTTTCAAAGGCCCATCCATATTGTGACATATAATCAGAACTTCATTTCCTTTTATGACCCAAACAAATTCCGTTGTTTGGATAAGTACACCTCCTTAATTGTCATTTGTAATGCCGCCCCTTGTTTGCTGTTGTGAATGATGGATGCGAATGTTCAAGAAGCCGAGTTCTCGCTCTCAGGTTGTTTCGATAGGTTTTGGGCAGACACACCTAGCAGTGAATTGCTGGGCCATCTGGTACCTCTGTGTTTTTTGTTTCTTTTTTTTTGAGGATTTGCCAAACTATTTCGCACAGCACTGCAGGATCGTGTAACACTGTCAACAGTGGGAAAGGGGTTTTAATTTAACATTTCTCACCAGCATCTCCTTTCTATTTTTTGGATCCTCGCCATTCTCACAAAAACTCACTGCCTGTGAGTCAATTCTGACTTAACAGCTCCCCTACAGGACGGGCTAAAATTGCCCCTGCGAGCTTCTGCAGCGATACCTCTTCATGGGAGCAGGAAACCTCATCTTTCTCCCACAGAGTGCCTGGTGGTTTCGAACTGCTGATTTTTCTTCCCCTTCACCCAAGTCAACACCTTTCTACCCTGTAGCCTATTCATTCCCCTTCCCCTCCCCCTCCTGGCAACCATCCAAGCGTGTTTCTTCTGGAATGAAAACCTTTTCTTTGAATGTTTGGGTGAGTGCTGGTACCTGAAATCCTGGCAGCAGGCACAGCGTCCAGCATCAAGCCCCCACAGGAGGACAGAGTGATGAGTGGTGCATTAGAACCACAAATCTCCTTGGTCACTTGACCATTTTATCATGATTTAATGCCTTTATTTAACTTAAAAATGTGTCTAATCTCAACAGCAACTCTGCTGTCTTTTGGGCCTTCTTTGCATGGAATACTTCCTCCGTTCTTTCTCGTTCAGCTTACTGCTGTTTCTGGGTCTCAGCCGTCTTTCTTGGAGACAGTGTGTAGATGGCTCGCCCCCACCCCCAAGCAATCTGACACTCTTCCTTTGATGGGAAAGGTTAATCTTTTTGTATTTAAGCAAATCACTGATAAAGATGTGTTCTGCCTTTTGGTTACTTATTTCTTATGCCCTTTGTTCTCCCACCCCTGATTAAAAGACAATACTGTTACCATTTGTTTGTGTTTGTTTGTTATTTTGGTTGTGAGTGAATTTTTGTGGTTTTCTTCTTTTTCATGTGTGAGGGGGCCTCAAAAAGTTCATGGAAAGTGTAATGTAAAAGACAATGGAAAATTTCCACAAACTTTCAGAAGCCCCCTTGTAGGACGGTAGGTAGGTAGGTAGTTTGGGTGATTAACCTTAGGGTTATACTTAACATTTTTAATTGATAACATTATAGTTTAAGTTGATAGCAACTTAATTTCAGTAACACACAGAAACTATTTTTATATTTTTTTCCTCCACCTTGCATAGTTGTTATCCTGTATTACACTTCTTTTTTAAAATAGTGTCGTTGGCATATCATTCACACACCATACAATTCAATAGTTCCATCACATTAAGAAGAGTTGCCCAGTCATCAGCACAATCCATTTCAGGACATTTTCTTGGTTCTTGTGCTCATTGTTATAAGTGGTTATCAGCCATTTCCCTACAACCTCCTCTGCCATATCCCTAGGAACCATTATTCCAGTTACTGGCTGTATAGTTTTAACTATCCTGGGTTTCATAGACAGAAAATCATTCAAAACAAAACAAAGCCTAACAACAATAAAAAAATAAAATGGATGAAAACCTCAATCGAATGGAAAACACAAAATGTTAAAATCTAGAACCAATTTAAAATGAATCAAAAAGGAGATCAAATCATAGGGTGTTAAATTTTAATCAAACTGCGTCTCAATAATCCACTTTCCATTGCACTCTGCACGCTGATAGTTCAAATCCACCAGTCACTCCACAGGAGAAAGATGAGACTTTCTATTCCTAGAAAGATTTACAGCCCCCAAAGCCACGTGGGCATTTCTAGCCTGCTCTGTAGGATTGCGATGAGCCAGAATGGACCAGTGATGCTAGTGAGTTGGGTTTTTTGGTTTGGATACAGAATGTGGGATCTTTGGATGGTGCAGGTGATTAATGTGGTTGACGACTAACAGAAGGTTTACCAGAGACACCTGAGAAGAAGGCCTGGCATTGTACATCCAGAGCATTCATCATTAGAAATCCCACACCCTATAGAACACAGTTCTACTGATCCGCAGAAGAGTGGCCCTGAGTTGGAATTGACCTGGTGGCTGCTGGGCTTTTCTCCCCGTTTAATTTTATGTCCAGTCGCAAACATTTATAGTTCTGTTTATTTGTGTTGGTTTCGCATAAAGCAGAACCTATAAAGTTACAAATTGAACAAAATGAAGATGACATATATATATTCTTTGAATATATATTCAAGTTCATATCTATATGAATATATACATTCAAAGAGAATATAGATAGTCTGAGTTATTATCTAATGTTCAGTCAGTTCTAGCTGAGGAATTTCCGTACTTGACCATATCAGTACTTGTCATAATCAGATTTCGATGTGGAATGTCGAGAAAGTTTTGCATCAGAGCTCGGACAAAACATTGGTCTCTGACCCGATGCATGTAATTTTTGTAAATGAAAGCAGTTAGTGTTTCGGTCACTCGGCGTTAGGTGGCGTTGTTAGTAAGCATTGTTTAAACCTTTTGCGGGCGTGTTCCAAGCCTTTTGGTATAATTTTCTTAGTTTTTGCGGCTTTTTGTACTGTTTTTAGATAAAAAACATAGGTCCTAAGAAAGAGTTTGTTGAAAAGAATCTTCATGATAAGGAACTGGTTAACCGTGTTATTGATATTGTTGATGATAATTTAGTAAACTCTTTTAGAAAACAGTTAAGGGAACACTAACAGCAGACCATATTAGACAGATTTTTTTTTTAAAGAGAAAACCAGCCATGTCCTCGTGAAAAAAAGGCAAAGCAGGGGAAAACTCTTGAAAAGCAGCTACCAGTTGATTTGGTGGAAGGGGGATTCCTCTTCCCAACAGTGACCCCCTCTCCACATCCGTGCCACAGGTCCAGATCCTCGTCACTCGCAAGGAATGGGCCTTAGTAGTTGTGTAACACTTTTTTAATGTTGTGTTTCTTATTTAAATTCTATTACTTAACTCTGAACTTACTTTGAAATTTCTGTGTAATGTTTTGTAGAAAAAGGAAAGGTTAGGGTAAAAACTTGGTGGTCGAGAACGAATTAATCCGTCTTCTGTTATTACTTACGGGATAAACTGATTCGGGACTGGACTGCATCGCCTCTCGAAGCCGCTCCTTCTAGAGCGCATCAGCGTCGGGTTGGGGCCCTGCTGTGCTGCGGGCTTACTCGTCACAAGCTCCCTCAGGCTCTGTTTATCTTGGATTCTCTGAATTTTACCCTCATTCCTGAAAGACCTTTTGTCAGATAGAGAACTGGTGATTGGCAGCGTTTTTTCTCCGAGTGTTTTAAATATGTCGCTTGACCGCCTTCTGGCCTCTGAGGTTGATGAGGAGAAATTGGCTTGGTGTCTCCTTGATTCCTTTCAATGGACAGTTTGCTTCTCTTTGCCGGCTTTCTTAATTCTCTTAGGTTTGGCTTTTGAGAGTTTTGATGATGAAATGTTTGGGTGTGAATCTCTTTGGGTTTATCCCGATTGGAGTTCGTGGTAGGCATAGATTCTTGTTGTGTGTATATTCATGTTATTCCTTAACCATAAACAGTTTCCTACTATTATTGATTGAAATCTCGGTGTCCTCTTTTTTTTCTGGGATTTTCCGTGAAATGTTAGTTCCTCTGATGGTTTCTCGCAGTTCTATTAGGTCTTGCTCAGCTTCCTTGATGTTCATTTTTTGTTTTGGCTTTTAGGTGTCGTTGAGTTGATTTCCAAATCGTAATGACCCTGTGTACAGCAGAATGAAGCACTGTTCCATCCTGTGACATCCCCACAATTGTTCATACGTTTGAGAAAAATGGGGCTTAGTCTTGGAAACTCAGGAACAGTTCTACCCTGCCCTGTAGGGTTGCTATGAGTCCCATCAACTCAATGGCTGTGTGTTTAACCAAAGGCATGCATGCTGAAAGACTGTATTGTTACTGCTACTTGCACAGAAGAAAGTGTTTGTAGA